TCAATAATGCTATGAATCAATACAGACAATTCTGTTTTTTTATTATTCCAATAGCAATAAGTCTTGCACAACAGCGTTCCTACAAGCTATTATACAAAAAAAACTGTAAGTTAGTTCAGAAGAACTGTTTTTGGAATAGAGCTTTTGAAAATCGAGATAACCTGACCTAAAACTAAATAATTTGTTTATTATCATCATTATCACCAGCATATTAATGTCCCCACTGGTGGGGCTCAGGCCTTCCTTATGGATGAATAATTTTTTGATCACCCATCCTATAACTGGCCATTACGAAAGTTGCTTAACAGACGTATCACAGACGGAGCGCGCTAACAATTAAGCTTCTCTTGTTGTTGTTATAAGTTGTTTATAAGAGCAGTTAGTATCCGCCACGTCCAGGTCCTATTATTATTTTAGTTTTTGATGTTATTTATGGTCTCAAAGAATATTTACAGCTATTTTGTACGTAAGAAAAAATAGCCTAATATAATGACCTAGAGAATAAATTGAACCTGTTCCGGTTTCGCACTAGAGCGACTTTTACATATATAAAGCTTCCCATTCGATTTCTTCCAACATCTATCAATATTATCGTCATATTTCAATAAATTTTCACAGTCTTTAACCTTTTTCGTATACAATTTAAAATCTTAAAATGTACACATAAAGCTCTTCACGAATTACCTGGAAGAATCGTAAAATAATTCTCTCCGATGGTATTTTAATATTTTTGCAGTTACGCAGAAATTTTACTGTATGACTAACTTTACAAAAGCATTATTAATAATTTCTAATATTCCTAGAAGATTAATTATATCCGGATAATCATTTTCAAAAGGCAGAAAAAAGTTACCGTTTCACGAATTCTTATAAATTGACGATGATTGATGAGAATGATGTGTGAGATCAGTGTGGCAGTGATTCAAACAATAAACTGGTTAATTGTGCCGCAAAACATTTCGTACGACAACCGGAAGACATCAACTCCCAACGACCAGTCATACGGTTACTAACACTTTATTTTTACACTTACTACTTTGCGACAGGAGATTTCCTTATTTGGTATAGGAAAATATATTAAAGCGGTTTAATGGTTAATTTCCATGTTGATCTAAAAAACCATTGGACAAATGGGAATTGGATTTTCGTTTTATAATTATTTTGTCTTAAGATTTCAATTTATTCACTGACTCATATTCTGAGATTATCAATTCTTTGTAACCAAAAATTAGAAAATCTAACCACGTTTCAAACAGAAATGTAATCATTTTAATATAAAATATCTTCAATACCATGATTATATCGTTATAACGCTTATCTTAAACATTATCTTTATTTTTTTATTTATTTATTAAAAGTTTTATTTAACTTGCAATGTATGTAAGTATGTTTGTTCGGTTGGAATCTTCAAGCTCAATTTTGAAGTAGATAAGTTGGTAGTTAAAATTTAATTAACATTGAAATAAAAGCTTTTTAAAAGTTTTTTATTTTTGGAAAACGACGTCGAGCTTTTTTGCATGCATATGATAAGTTTGTCTTATTTCAAAGTTTATTTTTCCTTTTTAAAAGTAATAAACAAAAGCTGATATTTATTTTCTTTTTCACTTTTATTTTACATAAATTATTTGCTGTTTTTGTATTTAACCTTCTTCATTTATTAAGTTAACCCTGCAATATCAACAAATTAGAAACAGTATCCAAAATTTCAGCTTAATCGTTTAAAAATTCAGTTACCAGATTTGGTAAATAAATAGATACACGATATGCACATTATATTAATATCATCATCAGCCTTTTACGTCCCCACTGCAGGGGCCCAGGCCTTCCTTATGGATGGTTAAGGAGGATGGGCCATGACCCTCCACGCTGGCCCAATGCTGATTGGAAGGTATTAACGACTGCAAATGCAGCCGGGACCAACGGCTTAACGTGCCTTCCGAAGCACGGAGTAGCTCGATATAATAATTTTTTGGTTACCCATCCCGTGACCGACCCTTGTGAAAGTTGCTTAACGACAACGATCGCGAGCCGCGGCGCTTATCCACAACGCCACCGAACTACTCTATATTAATATGAATGAATGAAATTATTTATTGTATCAAACATCAAATGAAAGAAAAATTTGAGGTAATTATAATATAGGAATAGAATATTTAAAAAAATAATATGTGTGTGGAATATTTCTCTTTACCTGCAAATCTGCAAAAGTATAAAAAGTGTCTGAATCAAATGTTTGAAAACATGTATTATATTTTAGCAGCTAAAATCAAACTAACTTCGTGACAAATGAAATAGTGAATAAAATTAAAAAAAAATTATTGACGTTTACAGTATCTACATTGTTGATACTTTTGTCCTAGATAACTCTTATCGAATTATCACAAACTGTTTTCAAATTCTTTTAAAGATAATCTCTTCAATAAAACTTACATTTCTAACGTGACTTCGTATCATAACTAATTATTGTGAGAGAGTAATCGCAAACAAACATGGACAATTTGAACGAGTTGAATTAAAGAAAACAATGTACATTATACATACTTAACTATAAACTGTTAAATAAATACTAATAGTAAAATTACGCGTGCGAAGCCCGGCTGGCGAACGTCTACAAAAATATACCATGACATCATGGTGTGTGAGCGAGACCCCACCCTCTCGCTCACAAGTCTGTATATAAAAGTATAATATACGAATGCATTTACTTCAGTCGTGTTTTCTTTAACGGATGGTGTGTATGTGTGCTTGTCTCTTTTTCGAAAGAAAAATCGAATAAGACTTTACTATGTCAAAAATCGAATACTTATGTAGGTAGATATGATGGGAAGCGTTATTATTATATATATTTATTATATCTACAATAGTTTTAAAAATGTTAATTGGCACGAGTATAATCGCCATATAAAAATATTTTTGTACGCTTACGTCACTTTTATCATTACAAACAGCTTAAAGAAAAATACAATTCATTGATAGCGCAAACAGACTATTAGGGCATTGTTGGCCCCTCAGTATCGAACTATGTCCCTGATCTAAAATGGGCAAGCTCGTGTTTCCGCATGGATAACGATGTTTACAACTATGAGAGTATAACCCTAAAATACTGAACAGTAAAAATTATAACAATCGTGTTCGCTCTACTTACTGATGATAATACAATGCGATGATTGAATTAAAGTGAGTTAATTCCCGTAAATAACTCTTATTTAAACGTATGTAACATTTGAATGAAAGTTATTTACAGGTTTGGTAGTATGCACCTTATTGATATTTATGGCGTTTACAACAGAGCACCGAAATATAAGATACATGACATGTTTACAGTCCCTTAATGAACTATTGTAAAGTTTAATACAAGACATGTATTTAAATTTTTATCTTAAACTATTTGTTTCCCAGCTACTTCGCCCGCGCAAATTATAGCCTGTGTCAGCCGCGTATGATGCAGCTTCTAGTAGATGAAAGAATTTTCATGATCTGTCCAGTATATCCGAAGATTACCCACTACAAACAAACCATACTAGAAACTGCTTCTATTTAATATTATTATCGTTCTGATAGACTTTTTACTCGTTTACATGATTGGTTATATTCATTTTTTTTTATAGAAAATAGTTAAAAAAATATAGAGGATAATAAATAATAGCACACATTATGTGTTATTATTAATATAATGATTAATAACGTTGAAAGCCTCCTCCGCAATGGCAATGGCAAGAGAGCTTTTATACGTGACGTCATTCCAAGTTGTTGACCCGTATGTCGGCCTGAGAACTAGTCATCAAATGCTTGTATCACCTGTGTATTCGGCAACACCATTTTAAGGACCATTCGATTCCCCCGTTTAAGTTAGTCATTGAGTTAGAGGAATTCGACTAATCGTTTACGGTAATGATTTCATGTCTTTCATTATGACTCGGAGTTCAAGAACTAGAGTTTTAAGAAAAAAATTACGAGATCTATCGCTGACGTTATGGTATCATTACAAAACAATAATGACAAAACAACAAAACAATAATGCGCATTAAAAATGAACAATTGATAGAGAGGCGTAATTACCGGCATCACCTTCGGGGACCTGGGTAAACAAGTCACCATGATGTCATACTGGTGTTGTTGACCCAACGGATACATGACTGCCGCTATTCGAAGCGTGTTCCGCGGACCGAATCTTGTAAAAATATTTAAAAGTTTTAAGATGATTTTTAAGCGCAATTTACATAAAGTCACACTTCTGTCAAACGACTCTCTATACTCTCGCAAGGTTTCGCTATATTACCTCATTGCCATGCAATATACAACGTGGAGTCGAAGTTCATATGTAGTAACCATTTTTTGTGAATATTTTTCTGTATAAGCAATGTAACTTTTCTGCTTTAATCACTACATCACATTTTTTTTTAATTTTACGCTTTTAAGAATCTGTCACAGATTTGTTATTATATACATTACTAACGAGCTAATGTTTCGGATCAATCTCGAATACTCCCAAAGTACACGTGGCAAGTATTTTTTATATTTTAGAAGTTAAAATTAATGAAAAAAGTGTTTACTACATTATAAACTTTTGCTAGACAGTTTCTGAAACACGAAAAACTCGATCACTCCAGGGGTGCGACCGCCTAGCTCTTTAGCAAATGTCATTATGCCATCTAGCCATAGAATACAATAACTTTGCGATTATATGGCAATATTGCTTTTTATTTTACTTTGATATGTCTATTGGTGGGTAAATTTGAAATAAATATGTAAGTTGGTAACACTGCTATTAAAGTCAGCCATAATCATCATTATTTATCGTTCGTACGTCATTATTAAAGTAAAAAAAAACGGCATAACATAGCTAAGACGTATCTTATGGGTAGTGTAAGGCGGTCGCACCCCAGACGAATCAGACAGAGAACCAAAGTCATATAATCCAATAATTTAAATTAGCCAGCCGATTTCTATCAGAGTGGTCGATATTTTTCAACGCATTATCGTATAAAATAAGAACTTACCTAGCTAGATTGCCCTTCAGTTTCATAGTGCCATTCTGTGTAGTAGACGTTTTAACCTCATATTCGACGGCTTGTATCTCTATAGATTGCACTTGCTGTCCATTGTCGCAAATTAAAGAATCGATGCGACAGGATATAGGAGCTCGCCTGGGAGGCGTAACTCGCGGGTAAGTGTGATGGTGTCTTGTACTGGTGGACATCAACTCCGCGCGTCGATTTTTAGGTAGCGTCCTTGCACAAAGACTATTGGCGGCATTCTTCAAATGTGTCCGTAGCCTATTATTACCGGCCGTGCTTAGGATAGCACTCTCCATGGTCACTGATGAACACTTCACTTAGTGTATATTCGATTCCATTGTTTCTGTTTCACTATTTTATTTTAACTATACACTTAAGCAGATTATATCAATGTTCATACTTAAAGCACCAGTCATATAGTGAATCAAGTGTAACAAGTTCATAATCCTTATATTTCATCAGAACTGAAGGTGCTTCTTTTGTTTTTATATACATATTGTTTTTAATACGGCTATTAGTACGGCAGTTCATTTTCTCACTTTTTAAATAGGAAAATATCATAAATGATACGATCTGCACAGGTAAATAAAACCGCTTTTTTATTTCTAAAGCCGAATAACTGATATATTTTCAGCGATGTTATTACTTTACTAATTTAAACGAAATTTTAAGTGTCACATTTATAGTAAAATTAATCAATTATCAATAGTCGTTAGATAGTTGGAAACCATTACGCTACCTAATACGTTATCCTAGTTATTCATAAAATAGCCGTCAGTTGATATCTTAAAAGGTGAAGATAATTATAAGATTATGTTCTAGATCGACGATAGATTAATTAAATGTGGCAGTTATTATATCTAAGGATAATAACATTAATGTGTTCATGATCTCAGAACATCGTTAGTCACGGAGTGATATAGTAGTTGAGTGAGTACATTGCAGCAATAGATGCAAAAAATATACGAACAATTGGTTAATTAAATGAAAATGTCAATTAACATTTGAATCATATAAATTTTCATACTTTAACCTAACTATTAGTTTCGTTAAAGATAAATATTATAAAACCTTACAATATTCATTAGACTCCAAATCTAAGAAACTTAGAGCACAACCTTCCATATACATATTTCGAGATCCCAATCCAAATTAGATTTTAAAAACATAGTAATCAATTACCTATTTTTCTATTGGAATTGTTGGTGTTTCTACTTTTCGAGATTTTTAAGGCGAAAAAATATGTTGTTGTTAAAATTATAACTCTTGAAATTTTAATAGAGACCAAAATAAAGAAACATTGGCTGTTGAAAAAAATCTCTGCAATTGCTGAACTAACAGAATCCTGTATGCGGTATACCCGTTATCTTAACTGTTACAGTTTACAGTTAGATATAATAACTACACAACAATCCCATGATAAGTATTATTATATATCCTTATTTATGTACAAAAGGAATGTGAACATTGCAGTATCACTTATTGCTCAAGACGGCGATTTAAGGTTCCCACATAGGTCATCTAATCGACCTGTCGATCAAAAGTGGCTAGTTTTAATATTGATAGGTTCGGCACAATATCGAGCATCGAACACAGGCTTGCGGAAGGCTCGCGAGCAAGAGGCGAGGAGTGCGGGGCGTGTAGGCGCGCTGACATCACCGCCGGAGCCAGCCGTTCTTACATCACCCGCTACCTCCCACTGACAGCCGGACCAAGTAGTGCTGCACTGCCGTATACTGACCGAAATAATGCCCATCTTATTTGATAGATATCGGTAGCAAATCTGCTGCACAAACTAAACTAAATTTAGGTTTATTTCTGTCCTCAAACTGCGTTACTAAGATAACACAGGTAAACCAATTATATTTGTAGTACTAGGAGTATAATGGTAGAACAGAATCAGCACCATTATTGAATTACACAAGCGAAACAGAAGCCTTTGTTTGTGTTTCTATGTTTTCTAAAATATTTACGTGATTTCGGGAGGAGATAAAATATTAAAGTATACGACATTATAATTAAATATTTTTTACTTATATTATTATCATGAAATTAATACACTCAAAACTGTAGTCATATATAATCTGAGATGATGATTACGAAACCAAACTGCAAATTAGCCTTGAATAGGTAGGTACTATCGCTATTCGATAAGAAAAATCAATTGTAAATAATCGCAGGTCTCATGGTCAATATATTCCAAATAAAACACAAGTTTATTGAATAAATAACCACATCACTAGTAGCTTAATCTTTTAACAGCTAACGATCGTTGCGCATTGGCACTTAATTTAACCATAACGTTACAGTTATTATGTTTGATCAATTTTGCATTTACAATACTATATTGACATTTATTTTACAGAAATATACTATTAAAAATTCACCAGTCCCAGGTATCTAAGGTGGGTGCCGTGTTCTCTGCCACTATTAACGCAAGATATGCCCATGGTTTCTGGGTTGACTTTTCTTATCGGTGGCGATGGCGAGTGAGAGTCCAACACACTCCCAGCTATCCCACTGAAATGGTGCATAGCGCACTTTCCCAGCATCAAAAAAGGTTCCTGTGATGGGATAGGTACCCAAAACCCATATCAATCTGGGCTACAACTATTACCGAAGGCTAACAATTTTATGCTGTTATAATTGAATCCATACGTTTAGAAAATACACAACATAACCGCAGAAAAGTAATTTAATTCGTTTCCATGTTATTTTGTAGTACAATAATTTCACTTATTATTTTTTCGTGCAAAGCTCGTAAAGAAAATTTAATGTTACTTTTTTATTTACTTTTAATATCCAGTTTAGTACTTATAGATTTCATTAAATGAAATTAAAGATGTTTAAAAGAGTCCAGCAGAATCATTTAAATCATATCTTTATTAGTAACTAGCTGACCCGACAGACTTCGTCCTGTCAAAAAGCCTACATTGCTTAGACAACAGTGAGTGCTTGTAATTTAATATGAACTTTATACCATAGCAATAAAGCTCAAATTGACTACGTTTTAGTTACAAATCATTTGTATGGGAAAAAGAAAAGGGCTATGTTTAGGGTTTTTCCAGCAATAATTCTAATTTTTCTCGCCGTAAAAACCATCCTTGAACTTCAACGAACATTTTAAAAAAAGATTTGGCCAAATTGGTCGAGGCGTTGTTGAGTTATGCGCTTACCAACACATTTTGCGATTCATTTTTATATATAAGATTACAATTTTAGAAGTATTATTACCGAGAATAAAAGTTTTATTAACGTTTCACTGTAACGCGAATACATATGAGTACATTTGTTTCGGTTTTCAGGTTTTGTGGTGAATATTATAATTTTTTAGAATATTGATACATGAATAAGAAAATAAAATATTTTTTCTACAAAATATTAAGAACATTAAGAAAACTCAAATGAAACAAAATATATTTAATTTAAAACATTGCAATTTAAATAATGAGCGATATTTCAAAACACTATGTGTATCAAAACGGTGGTTGCATATAAGGTGTAATATTATTATATGCCAGGAATTCGTGATATGAATGAATTAAGTACGAGTATAGTGACCATCTTTTAATATGGCAGCAACACTAAATTCAAGAACAAATAATCAGCTGTTTCGTACAAAATTTTAATTAATATCTACAATCGCCAAATGAGCTGATTAGTTTTTCGTGCTCCCATAGTAAAATATGGTCCATATACTTAACTAATTCACTCCACAAACTCCTTGCACACAATAATATTACACTGTATTTACAAGTTTCCGTACTAAAAAAGGTAAGACGAATCCCCCTACCATCACTCGGTTGTCTATCTGTTCACAATCCACTAGCCTTAATATTATATTAATGTACGTATTTTAATTAAATCGACGAAAATTGATCAATAAGGTAATAGTTTTTGAAATATTATATTTTTGCGAAACTCGAAACCCTCTGCGCTTAATCTATCACCGACTTTTTAAATAGGTACCTTCACACGTTTTGTTATATATTTTTAAAACCTACGAGACGTAGGTATGTCACTCATTGTTTTGTAACGCTATTTCTTTTACTCAAGGCCAAAAAGATAAAAGTCTTCATGTCAAAAATTATGTCATTGTTTTCACATTTTGTTTTGTTAAAACATCAAGCAGATAATTCTTAAATTTCTTTCTAAATTAATAGGCGCTTTCTTGAATTCTTGAATGAAATAATATCAGTCTAGGTCTAATAATACCAGGCTTATGTCTATACCTATCATACTTCAATCATGCTTCAAGTAATGTCTATCGGCAAAATCAAAACGGATATGTATATTCAGTGGCCAAGGCTAATCTTCGCCCACGACTGCTTATTAACCGATTTCACGACAATTAATAGACAATTGCCTTAATTGGACATGCCTTTATAAGCAGCAAAAGGACACGTTAATATCGATTTAAAAAATACAACAACACAAATATAGCAATGACGAAACGTTTGACGATGACCTGAATAAATACAGATTACAGGTATTGTTGTAGGTCAAAGAAACGATCGAGGTCGCAATACAAATATATGAGCCTATAAGTCCCTTAATAAAATTGTAATCAAGCAAAAAGTATGGTATGTCCCTCATTCCCACGGCAATGATGTCAAATTGACTAAGCTATCAATCAGTGCTCGGCGGATGCGAAAGCAGTGTCGGCGGCCGCAACTAGCGTGGGCGATGTTGTACACCAAACGGTTCAGTCTATGACGCTATGTGTTAACCGAAGAGCGGTATAAGCTCAATGATTTATTAAAAAGTTTGGATGGGTTATCAGCGCACAACATTGACAACAAGAAAGCAATGCAATTGCCCGACTTTCGCTTTAGTTACGTTTCAGCAAGCGTTGTTGCTAATGTTATTTCACTCGTAATTTTCTGCGAAAAGTAGTAGAAAAAAATGCCTTCCTGCGTGTTTAAACAATGCACAAATTACACATTGTCAATGAGAAAAGCAAACAAGATATCACTTCATTCGTAAGTACTATAATTTTTATTTTAATAACAACTTAACTGAACGCAGCCATTTTTTTGGTGCATGGTGCTCTACGAGTAGAGGAGATTGAAGTTGACAGTAAAGCTAAGGGAAGTATGTTTATCTCGTTCTAACAAGAGGTATGCCGTATGATTCTAATAGAGAGATAACTATTTTTGATTTCTTCGGGCCCTTTGTGGCTGTATTATAAATTAATCCTACCAAAATAAAGTTTACGCTATTTTAAAACGCAATAATGTATGAGTATGACGAGTCTAATAATAAAACGTCAATGTATAAGCTATGCAATTTGACA